TCTGGTGCAGCTTCTGGAGATGGGAATCGAACCACAGTGCTACGCCCCTGACTGCATTGGTGCAAGTAGCGCTTTAAATAACTGAGTTATCTGGCAAGGCCGCTGAGCTATGGCTTTGTTATGTTATTTAGGCTGGTCTCTTAACTCCTAGGCTGAGGACTAGGGCTCAGTGGTAGAGCTCTTACCTTGGCATGCATACGGCCCTTGGTTTGATCTCCAGCCCCCCCAAAGCAAAATAAAACAAAAAACTCCTAGGCAAAGCAAGCCTCCTGCCTCAGCCTCCTGAGGAGGTGGACTCCAGGCCCAGACCAGTGTTCCCAGCTCTTTAACTGACAGCCAGGGCTCTTGAGGCTCTTGCTCCAACTTGCTTTTCTAGCTTGAACATTCCACCACTTCCCTATATCTTCATTTGTCATCTTGGCTGTGGTTTGAACCTGCCATGGTTCAAACTTGAGGAGCACATGCTCTGCCTCCTGCCGAGCCAGTTTAACTGTAATCTGAGGCCAGCCCAAAGGCCACCTAGGGACTCCTCAAAGAAGGCCCTGAGGCGGTGCCCTCCCCGCTCACACAGGCTCACCTTCACTGTGGTGTTCATCCCTCTCAGAGCACCTTCTTCACCTCCTGATTTCAGGGGAGGTGGCCACAGCCCAGGAGACTTTCTGCTTAGTTCCGCCTGGCAGAGTCTGTCCCTCCTCCTGCTGGAGCCAGCCGAGGTTGCAGGAGCTTTTTATTAGCCCGGGAGCTCAGCTCGGACTATGCATTCATCAGCTGAGGCTGATTACTCCGATTTGCTGCTCCCTGGCTATGACCTAGGGGCTGAAACTAAGGATCCTTTCTCACCTGCTGGTGGACAGGAAGATCCAATTTTTTTTTTTATAATAAATGATATTATTTTATTTTAAAAAAATATTTTATTTATTTATTTGTGTGTGTGTGGCCAGCTCAGCCCACCAGGGGGCAGGGCTGGCTGGCATGTGGTGCTGGGGAATTGAACCGCGGTCCCTATTTGCTAAGCTTGTTCTAAGTAGGTGCTTTAGACCACTGAGCCATCTCACCAGCCCCAAGTTTTTGTTTTTTTTTTTGCTCTGAATGCCCTCAGGGGTGGTTTGGCTGGCTGGAGGGTTGTGGGGATCGAACTACAGCAACCTGAGGCTGACAGCTTTGTGGAAGCAGCCACTTAAACAACTGAGCTAAGGCCAGGCCCCCCAAGATCCAATTCTTATCAGAACTGCCTCAGAACTGCAGAACTGCTTCTGTTCCAAATATGGGGGGGAGGAGGGCCAGCCAGATAGGTTAGCAGATTAAAGTGAAGGATTCAGGCACCAGTTCAATTCCCAATTGCCTGCTGGCCCCACCTCTGCCCCTGGGGCGCGCTGAGACAGCGATTAATGGCTGGGCATAGTGGTGTGTGGCTGTAATCCCAGCATTTGGGAGCCTGAAAACTGAAGGATCACTAGAGTTCCATCTATGTAGTGAGATCCTGAAGACCCTGTACTAAATACATTAAAAAAAAAAAAAAAAAAAGACAAATATGGGGGAAGGCTAGTTTCTTCCCTCACCTTGATTGTGATAGACTTGCACTTTCAGACTGCAGCAGGCCTGACACCCAGCTGCAGAGCATGAGCCAATAGAATCTGATCCTGTACACCTGGGAGGGTCCGGGGAGTTCCCATGTAGGCATGCCAGAGGCCACACTTTAACTCTGTACCTTTGACTTTAATCTCCCTCTTCCCAGGAAGTGAGAGTCCTGGGCCATAAATTCCGAAACCCAGTGGGAATTGCTGCAGGATTTGACAAGCACGGGGAAGCAGTGGATGGCCTTTTTAAGCTGGGCTTTGGCTTTGTTGAGGTAGGAAGCGTGACTCCCCAGCCTCAGGAAGGAAACCCCCGACCCAGAATCTTCCGCCTCCCTGAGGACAAAGCTGTCATTAACAGGTGGGTCGTGACCCAGTGTCTGCCCTGCTGGGCTGGCAAATAGACCGCGGTGTTCCCTCTTGTAGGCTGTAGACACTTTACTGGTGTTTGGACCGTTCAGGAACCCTGCTGAGCATCTGCTAGGTGCCAGGTGTGGACTCTCATGCCCACCTGGAAAGCAGGTGTTACTGATTGCTTAACTGGCTGGTGCCCGGCTGCTTGGAGAGTTATGCACCTGAGTTACAGTCACAGGGAAGTATTCAGGGAGCTTGGGCACAGCTTCAGCCTCCTGCACTCTGTGGTTTGTGCCAAATCTTCCACCGCCGGTGTGTCCTTTATTTTTCACCCCTCTCATCAGCCCCATTTCCAGGGCTGAGAAGCTCCGTGTGGCCAGCAGCCCTGCTATTGGATAGGCAGCCCTTGCTGTCCACTGATAAGCAGAAGAATCTACTGTTACCCAGTAGTAGATTGGGTAATAGTGTACACAGCTGCAACATTTTAGGAAGAGAAGTCCTGCTGGATGGTATAAAGCCCTTCTGTGTGTCACCCTGGGTGATTTTTACAACAAACCCGGAAGGCGAAGAAGTTCCTTGTTTTTTGAAACAATGTCAGAGAGCCTCGTGGGAGGGGTGGGAGTTGGTAGTTGTCTTTGGGGCTGTCAATGACAGCAATGACATTCTGGGAGACAGACCTAACACAAGTTTATTCAGCTGTGTCTTCTGCTGTTATTGTACCAGTTTCAAGGAAATTTCCTGACATCAGAGATCAAGTTATTGATCTTTCTGTTGCTTGTCAACAGGACCAAGATCTTTAGAATTGGCCAGACAAAATGCACTTGTTTCTGATGAAGCTGCTGCAAGTAACTGCAGGCCAGAGGGTGATGGCCTGGCAGGACCCTCTAGACAAGTAGGGTGGGACAAGCGCTTCGCTCTTGGGAACTTGGAGTAGTCAGTCTCCTTGCTGCAAGTACCATGTGGCGAGTGCTTGTAGGCTGTAGACACTTTATTGGCAAGTACTGTTAAGTACCACCTACATGTGCCGCTTCACCTGCTCTGCTGCCTGTGGCTGCAGGTAACACGGTGGCCCAGCCGACAGGCACTTCTTATTTCCTTCTCATAACGTGTGAGAGGGCAGCTGAGTGGCTCTGTGGCCAGTTAATGTCAAGACTGGCCCAGGTTCTGTCTGCTCTTGATGCATCCAAGATGCCATCTCATGTGCAAGCATTTGGTCCTCATGTGGACATCCAAGAGCAGGATGGGACAGGGGCAGGAGGGGGGACTTTTCAGAAACTTTATTCCACATCACCCATGTCTTAGTGACCACACCTGGTCCTGTATCATACTTCAGTTGTCAGCAAGACCGAAACAGCGTGGAATCATTAACGTGTTTCCAATGTGTTTGCAAGGACATGGGCCCCACAGGTGAGGAATGGGAAGGGGGAGTCACCAGGTCATCAACCCACAGTGGGGCTGGGGATCCACAGATGAGAGACAAGTCCCCGCGTTCATGGGTGTCTTATGGCAGAGTGACAACGAATTAAGACCTGACTCTTGGCCTAGGAAGATTCTGAGCCAGGGCAGGAACCTAAGCCTGTTGGTACGTTTTAAGCCAGGAGAAAGCTGGGTATAGAGGGCTTTGAATGTCAAGGGAGGAAGGTCTGGTGTGGCGGCTGTATTCGAGCAGGAAGCAACTGAGCCAGGACAGGAAGGACAGGCAGAAAGGGTGGGGAAATGGGGTGGCTGGTGAGCCCCAGGAGGCCGAGGAAGGCTTGGGCTTCCCAGACAAGGGACCTTAAGCAGGCTCCTCCAGCAGGAGGCAGAGTCCTGCTGGGCTCTTTCCAGCATCCTCTGACTGGGTCGCTCACACTTTTTAATCTTTCCCTTTATGCCGGAAGGTGTTCTAGCCTGTTGCCTGGGGCTCCCAGTGATGTTCAGATCTTTGAGGTCGAAGAAATGACTTTTGATTGTCTCTTGTTCTTCAAAGTCATACCTCTGATGGAAATGACTGTGATGTTGCTGTCTAACCTCGCCTCCCTCTGGCTTGTGTGCCCAGGTGTGGATTTAACAGCCAGGGGCTCTTGGCAGTGGAGCGCAGGCTACGTGCCAGGCAGCAGAGGCAGACCAGGCTCACAGCAGGTAAAGGGGGACAAGCGAGGGCTTTTACCAGTTCCGTCACCACCTCTGAGGTTCAGAGTCTGAGCAAAACCTCCCCTGTAAGCTGTGCTGTGCTATTATACGTAGGGGTGCTTGGACTTCAGCAGAGCAGAGAGTTTATCTGTACCTGGGTGGACAGGGTGTGAGTGGGACCCAGGCATCATCTTCCTGTGTCCTTGCTTGATGAGTGTTGGATGTGGGAATCATGAAGACCTGTCTATGTAATGTTAGCCCAACTGTCTTCCAATTCCTCTGCACCACTATTCAGGAAGTTAGCTGCACAAATCTATCTTCCTCTCAAGCTGATGATATGAAAGTGTGATTCATAGTCAAGTGTGGTGGTGTGTACCAGTAATCCCAGCACTTGGGAGGCTGAAGCAGGAGAATCACTGGTCTAGGCTATGTAGTAAGTTCAAGGCCAGCCTGAACTACATAGTGAGACCCTATCAGCCTGTCTCAAAAACAAAAGCAAAAGAGTTATTCAGGCTCTGTGGAAGGTGGTTGTGACACTGGATGTTCTTTGATTATTGCTGGCCTGGCAAGCTGTGAAGTCACTCTGCTCTGCATCTGTCCCCAGCCTCCAGTCAGGAGCAGCAGCTGGGGCTGGGGAGATAGCTCAGTGGAATAAGTACTTGCCTGGCAAGCTCAAGGACCTGAGTTCAATCCCTGGTTCTGCAAAAAAAGGAAAAAAAAAAAAAAAAAAAAGAAGCAGCAGCAGCTGTCCCTGATGGGCCCCTGGCCTCTGCAGAGAGGAGAGTATCTCAGGAGCAGCACTTGGCTGGCTCCTTTCTTTTCACATACCATATTTCTGGAAATACATTGTTTTCTTTTCATTCTTTTTTTTTTAATGTATTTTAGTACAGGGTCGCACTAGGTAGATCCAACTCATAGTGATCCTCCTGTTTTCAGCCTCCCAAGCACTAGGATTATAGGCATGCGCCACCACACCCAGTCTCAGTCACCGTCTCAGTGTGCCCTGGGGGTGGGGCTGGCATGGCAGGCTGGGATCAGCCCCTGGATCTGCCTAAGCAGGTGCTTTAATCCATTTGTGTTCATTTTTTTTTGGAGACAGGGTCTCAATTTGTAGCCCAGGGTGGCCTCAAACTCATTGCAATCCTCTTGCCTTAGCCTCCGGAGTACTGAGATTGTAGGTGTGTGCTCTCACCCCCCAGCTGAAAATGTATTATTTTAGAGGCTCAAAACTTGATCCAGTTGATAGTCACATGCACTTTTAAGTACAGTATCTGTCACTAATGTGCACATGGAGACACTTTTTCTTTTAAATTTTTTTTAAATTTGGTATAGTGCCTTGCTAAGCAGTTCAGACTCCTACTGACCTTCCTGTCTCAACTGCCCCAACGCTGGGGTCATGGGCATGTACCACCATGCCTGGTTTTGGCATGCGGCACCGGGGATCAAACGGGACCTTCTGCTTGCCAGGAAGGCGCTTATGCTGCCGGGCTATCTCTCCAGCCCATGGAGACACTTGTGAGAGAGGAAGGGGAATGAATATACCCAGACCACAGTCGGTGCCTTTCCTGGGTGTACTGAGGTATGGGTAACCTGATTAAAAGGGAACTTCCTTTCTCAGAGAACTGAAGTTATAAATTATAAAATAATGATTATTATTATTTTTAAAGGGGAAATGGGGAGATTAAGGGATGGAGAGGGAGGGAAGGGCAGAGGATGAACAAGGTGCTGAGGGGCTAGGCAGATAGCTTGGCGATCTAAGTGCCTGCCTGGCAAGTTCAAGGACCCGAGTTCAGCCCCCAGTACTGCATGCCATGCTGGCCCAGGCGCATAGTGATGGTCACATCATGGTGGCTCATGCCTGTAATCCCAGCGTTGGGGAGGCTGAGACAGGAGGATCACTGTGAATCTGAGCTGCGTGGCAAGACCCTGTACCAAATAAGTAAATAAAAGATTTTAAAAAAAGGAAAGAGAAAGAAGCTGAGACATGTTGTGTACGCGCACCAGCTGCACAAACGAGTGTAAACGTGTGTGCGCACGTGCTAATGAGCAGTTACACTTTTAGGCATGATCACTGAAAATACCAGTATTTTGTACTTTTTCCTGCATTTTCACCACTGCACATCTGCTCATTTGAGCCAAGACCCACACGTACCCCAGTGGCACAAATCTCCTTTCACGTTTAGATTTCTGAGATCTGCCTTTTTTTTTTTTTTTTTTTTTTTTTAAATGCTAGGGCTCAAACCTAGAGCCTCTACCGTAGACCACATTCCAGCCCTTTTTTTCTTAAGCCAACTATTTGCACTTCTGATTTTTTTCCATTTAATTTGTAAAATTGAAAAGGGTAGGGCCGGCCAAATACCTCAGCAGATTAAAGCACCTGCAAGCAGGTGCAGGGGCTGGTTTGATCCCTGAGTGTGCCATGCTGGCCCTGCCCCCTGGGGTGCTCTGAGACAGCGATTGAGACTGGGTGTGGTGGCGCACACCTGTAGTCGAGTCCGATCTAGTAGTGAGACCCTGAACACCCTGTAGACCCTTCCCTAAAATACAGGTGAGAGAGAGAGAGAGAGAGAGAGAGAGAGAGAGAGAGAGAGAAAGGGAGAAAGGGAGAAAGGGTGGAGCATGCCAGGCCATCCTCTTGGCCCGCTGCAGTCGTGCCCCACACTCGCAGCTGGTGTGGGACAGTTCACAGCCGCCCTGCATGGGTTGGCCTTAAAAGTGTACCAGAAATGGTGCAGGGTAGAAGCTGACCCCTGATCTTTACAGATGGGCTGCCGCTGGGAATAAACCTGGGGAAGAATAAGACGTCGCAGGACGCCGCTGCAGACTACGCAGAGGGTATCCGGGTGCTGGGCCCCTTGGCTGACTACCTGGTCGTGAACGTGTCCAGCCCCAACACCCCTGGGCTGCGCTCCCTGCAGGGAAAGGCCGAGCTGCGTCGCCTGCTGACCAAGGTGGGCATCGCACCCTCCTCTGTGTCTCATCCAGCTAGCGGGTCCCCCTTCCTTCTCTGGGCACAGCTTGGGTGTCCTCAGTGAGAAGCTGTTCTTCCTGCCTAGGCCAGTTAGAAGCCCTCACAGCACCTTCCTGAAGGGAGCACTGTCAGGCCCCTGGCACAGCACTGATTTTACGTGACAGTAAACATTTGTTCCATCTGTCCCTGTTCTTAAGCCAGAAGGCCTATGACAATGGGGCCCATCCTCCTCGTTTATCTCTGTGTGCCTAGAACCTATCACAGTACATGAATTGAGTGACTTTTCATCCCACATGGCTTGTGGGGTCTTTAGGAATGAGACCAGCCTGGGCTACAAGGTGAGCTCAAGGCCAGCCTGCACTGCACAGTGAGACCTGACTCAAAAAACAAAACAAGAAACGAGTCAGAATCCTTACAACTTTAGCTAATACCAATGGGTGCCTGGTGAAGAACAGAACCAAATTTGTTCCCGAGCATTGGGAAGTTGATCTGGCTTTAGTTTGAGGCTATAAAAACACTGATGGCAGCTTCTGGTATCAGTCGTGCTGCTGGGTGGGGTCTGGGACCCCCATCTGTGGCATGTGTTGCCCTAGGTGCTGCAGGAGAGGGACGCCTTGCGGAGAGCACAGAAGCCGGCGGTGCTGCTGAAGATTGCCCCTGACCTCACGGCCCAGGACAAGGAGGACATTGCCAGCGTGGTGAGAGAGGTCCGACCCGGCTGCCCAGGCATAGGGCGGCTTCCATTGTCCCTTTGGCTCCCAGGGAGGCCCTGAACAGCATGACTGGTGATCTCTGTGACCTCAAAAACTAAATGGGTGTCTGTCATCATGGTACAAAGCGATGAGTCTGTCTGGAGAGTCTTTCCCTGCCTCTCTCTCCTCCTGCAAAGCGAGAGCTCTGCAGCTTGTGCTGCGTCTCTGGACAGCGTCGGCTGGCTGGGTGTTGGCTGGGTGTTGACTGCTTCTCCATCAGCCGGTCTGCATACCAGGCTTCTGGTGGAGGATGTGGAAGCACAGTGAGTTCTGCAGTCCTGGGTTCAAATTCTTTTTCCTTTCTTTTTTTCCCCTTTCCTTCTCTGTCTGCCTGTCTGTCTTTCTGTCTTTCTCACTCAAACAGGATCTTGCTATATAGTTCAGGCTGGCTTTGAACTCACCATGAAGCCCAGTTTGGTCTCCACCTTGCAGTGATTTTCCTGCCTTGGCCTCCCCAGGATTACAAGCATGCAGCAGCACACCCTGCTCCCTGGGTTCAAATCTAGCTTATTCTACTTACTACCTGGGGCCCTTGGCAAGACACCATCCAGCAGATTTTCTAAAGCTCAAGCCCTCCTCCGGGAGAATGTTGTGGGTGGTAGCGTGAGATGTAAGCTGTCACGTTGAGGCTCATTCTGGCACTTGGTCACAATAAGCGCCTCAGTGGCTCCTACTTGGGGGCTGTAGGGTGGCCCTGGCTCAGGGGCTGCCTCAGCTTTCCCCAGAAGCTTGTCTGTGTCCCTCACAGCCATGACTCAGAGCTCGTTCTGTCTCTTACTGCAGCTGGGTATCGACGGGTTGATTGTGACCAACACCACAGTGAGTCGCCCTGCCGGCCTGCAGGGCGCCCTGCGCACCGAGACGGGAGGCCTGAGCGGGAAGCCCCTCCGAGACTTATCAACTCAGATGATCCGAGAGATGTACGCGCTGACCCAAGGCAAGGCCTCTGCTGTCCGTGTGTCTTTCCGGGGCGGGGCTCGGGCTCGGGCTGGCCAGGTGCTCATCTCTCCCGGCTGCTGTGCTTCTCTGCAGGCAGGATCCCCATCATCGGGGTTGGCGGCGTGAGCAGCGGGCAGGATGCGATGGACAAGATCCAGGCGGGGGCCTCGCTGGTGCAGCTGTACACGGCTCTCACCTACGGGGGGCCGCCCGTGGTGGGCAGGGTCAAGCGGGAGCTGGAGGCCCTCCTGAAGTGAGTGGGGCTGCGTGGGGCTCACGCACAGTGGATGTGGTTAAGGTGAACCCAGGGTTCCTGGAAGAGCGGGCTCTGTCTCCATCTTCGCTGAAACTCCCTCATTTTCTGTCTTTCCAGAGAGCAGGGTTTTAGCACAGTCACAGAGGCCATTGGAGCCGATCATCGGCGGTGAGGACATCGTCTTCGGGGAGCTGGGTCTGGAACCTTACCAGGAACTCGGGCGAGCTGTGTGGCTGGATCGGGAGAGGAGGACTCCGCCTCCAGCCGCGTCCCCAAACCGAGGCCGGGCTGGGCTGTGAGGGCCGACGGTGGGGTTGCCAGAACCAACAGAGGCTTTCTGTAGTCACTTGGTCAGCGTAAGCTCTGTGCGTGATTCTTGCTGGATCCGCATCCAGGGGTCCTTCAGTATTGCAAGGACATTGGAAGAAATAAAGCCATTCAGAACTCGATTTCCCCCCTCCCCCTTTCTGGAGGGCCAGGGCTTTGCTCAGAGCCTGCAGGTCCTTTGAGTCCCGTGTCCCTGCACCTGCAGTGGCCTCCCATGACCTGTCAATCTGAGCTTTATTTTATTTTATTTGGTGGAACCGGGGATTTGAACTCAGGCCCTTGCGCTTGCCAGGGAAGAGCTTATTGTACTGAGCCATCTCCCCGGCCCCTTCTGAGCTTTCTTTTAGTTTTAATTTTATTTTGAAAACATTTCAAATAGAGAAGTTGCACAGCAGCCTGCTGTGCCCAAAGCGCTCCGCTGGCTCTCCTGGTCTCACCAGGGCTGCTTCCTCATTCTGTATTCATGGAAAATGATGTATGGAAGAGTAGGGCGGCATGGGGAGAAGGGAGAGGACTGCTGGCTCTAGTTCCTCTCATAGCAAAGGATGGGCATGGGGAGGGGGTAGTGGGTCCCCAGGGCCAGTGAACCATGCCCATGAGGCACAAACCCGAATGTCACTAGTCTGTCCTCATGTCAAGGTTGCTACCATCCTGGAGTCAGGGCCACAGTTGTTATGAACTTGGGGTCTCTGTCTGGAACGGCCTCTTCCAGATTTAATAATGAGTCTGGCTGTCAGGGAAGCGTAGTGGCTTGGAGGACATATTCATTTGCTATCCGTGAGCTCAGTGGCTTCCAGCACAGAAGTCTCACGCTTGTGGAGGTTGGGAGCTTGAGGTCGAGGTAGCTGCAGGGCTGGTGCTTTCCAAGGGTGCAGGCAAGGGATTGCTCCAGGCCACCTCAGAGTCGATGGCTGTCTTGCTCATGTCTTCCCATGTTACATCTCTGCATCTTAGTTTACCCTTTACATAAAGACATGAGTCAAATACATTAGTTTCCATCCTGAGGACCTCGCATTGATTACCTCTGTAAAGATGCTGCCTCCAAATGCCGCTTTTTGGGGAACTGGGTGTTAGACTTCAGTGTCACCAAGAGGACGCACTGTATTCCACCAGTGTCTCACAGCCTCTGGCTGTGCTGGTGTTGGTGACTCGGTGCCACTTTGACCAGGCTTTCAAGGGCATGGTGACGTTAGGTGATGAAAAGTTACTGAGGTCTGGTCGGCAGCTGCCACAGCAATGGAGTAATGTGCATCTTTTCAACACTGAAAAGTGAGAGGGGGTTCAGGGAGCTGGGCACCGGGTCTGGGAACTGCCGGGGAGTTGGGCTCCTCTTTGTGTCTAGCAGTCACTTCTGTTCTCACTTCAGGACAGGTTGTCTTGTCACTCTAACTTCTCAGCAGCTCCGGGCATGGCTGCTGCTTGGTGCTGGACTTCTGTAAGGGATTGTGACAAGCTGTGCTTCCTTCTTCATGTTCCCATGGGGATAACATGCATGTAGCTCTCAGCCAGCCAGCTCCCGCTCCACGGTAACCATGTGCGACCAAAAGGCCGTGATCAAAGATGCAGACGTGTCAGAAGAGATGCAACAAGATTCAGTGGCGTACGCTACTCAGGTGCTGGAGAAATATAACATAGAAAAGGACATTGTGGCCCACATCAAGAAGGAGTTTATTCTAAGTGATAATTCTACCACCGAGACACATCCTCAGCCCTGATTTTAGGTTTTTAAAATTCATAATGCAAAGGAAGAATATGTATGAATTATTTGAAATATATTTCAAGAAACACTAAAACAAAAGGAGTTTGACAAGTTTATTTCTTGTTTATCTGACATTCAGATTTCGCGGGCATTAGTTCTTGGGAAGGGTGATTATACTCCATCTCCTTTTTGGTTCAGGGGATCAAGCCCAGGGCCCTGTCTTGCCAGGCAAGTGCTGCTGTATCTCTGAGCTACATTCGGAACCCCTAGTTTCCACATTTTTTGCTTGTTTCTTAGGGGCAGGGTCTTGTTATACATTTCATGTTGGTCTTAAACTTACTATGCAGCCAGGGCTTGCCTTAAACAAGGTGCTCCTGCCTCAGCCTCCCAAGTACTGGGATTATAGGTGTTTACCACTACATCTGGCTAGTTTCCACTTTTGACAAGAGGAATGTCAAAGAATGTATGCAGATATTTAAAAACCACCATTGTTAGAAGATTTTGAAAAAGTTCACGTAGCCCCAGTGTCTATGGATAACAGCGCTGGAACCTAATAGGATGAAGCAGAAATACTGGGAAAGTTCCTCTTTCTCGCAGTCTTGTGCCTTTATAGCCAGTCACACGCCTCAAACAACCCTGTGAGCTAAGTACGTAACTGAGGCTGAATGCCTGCTCTCGTGTCATACGGGCGGAAATGGGGAGGGGGGACAGATTCTCCCACTCTAGCCTGCATTTGTCCCATGCTATCTGGTGCTGTCCTGACCTCCAGGGCCCTTTTGTGTGAGGTGGCCTGAGTGCTTTGTCTAGGTGCACTGTGGTGCTCTCGCCAGCAGGTGGTGGGATTTGTGGATCTTTGTTGTTGGCTGCCTCCTGGGTGATGAAAGACGCCTCTGGGACCCTAGGGCTGAGGTGTATCATGTGCCCCACCCCCTGCCACCCCGTGGGGCACACCCGGCCTGGGACCAGGGAGAGCCAAGCCATGGCTGGCAGGCCCTTGGCACTGACTGGCTTCAGAGCACCTGCAGGACCACGAGGCTCTTCTGCCACGAGGCAGCACCCAGCCTCGCAGGAGAAAGAGTGCCCTCCACTGAGTTTCATTGTAAGAAATGAGGGCTGGGGAGAGAGCTCAGCGGCAAAAGTGTCGGCCTGGCAAGCACAAGGTTCTGAGTTTGACCCCCAGTACCAAAAAACAAAACAAAAAAATTAGAGAAAATGTGAAAGAATGACACCCACAGTCCCCCCACATAGTAGCTCCGTTCTTACTCTCTTTCCTTTGTTCTGTCCATCTTTTTTGTTCTGTGTTTAGGACAGGGTCTCACTACATAGATTGGACTCATAGTAATTCTCTTGTTTTCAGCCTCCCAAGTGCTGGGCTGACAGGCGCCCACCACCACGTCCAGTCTCAGTTGCCACCTCAGCGCCCCCTGGGGGTGGCCCCGGCTGCTGCGCTGTTCTATCCATCTTTTTCACCTAACTTCTATTCTTCAGAGTCATTCCTGAATACTGCAGAGCTATATTATCTCAAGAGAAGTATATGCTCCTGTGTAACCACAATTCTGTAATCACACCCAAGAAAATTAGCCATGGCTCTCGCTGGGTACATACTCAAATTTCTCCTATAGTCTCCATATTATCTTCCATAGTTAATCAAGGATATCTGATAGGTTTTCAACAGTGTCGCAGCGGAGAAACAGGCAGAAGGAAGAAGGGAAAGGGGCTTTATTATAAAGGGAAAGGGGCTTCATTATCTTGGAGGACACAGAGAGAATTTAGGAAGATAAGGAATTCTCTGGATTAGAACAAAGGAAGACAGGCTCTTATGTCCTTTTGGCAGGGGTGGAGTTCTGGGGGGATGTTTAGATATACCTGAGGAGCTGATTGGGGCCTTCCCTGAGGTGGCAGGAAAAGTGGAAGGAAATTTCACCCTGGGCTGAGTTGGAGAAGTGTGGAGGTGATCTCTGGGAAGATAAGCTGGTTTTCTTTTTTCTTTTTTTTTTGTATTTTAGGGAAGGGCCTACAGGGTGTTCAGGGTTTCTCTACTAGATCGGACTCATAGTGATCCGCCTGTTTACAGTCTCCCAAGAGCTGGGATTACAGGGGGTGCTACCATACCCAGTCTCATTTGCCGTCTCAGCATGACCCAGAGGCAGGGCTGGCATGGCAGGCCCAGGATCCCCGGCCCCTGCGCTTTAATCCGCTGAGCTATTTGGCCAGCCCTAAGCTGTTGTTTTAAGGGCTTCAGCCATATTAGATGACCACCATAATTATTCAGCAATTCATACTAGGGTTATAACCTATCAACACCCATGTTATACTAGTTTTTCTTAATCTAGAAGGGCAACCTTTGAAGAGATCAATTAGTGTGTGGTAGATGGGTCTACATTCTAGATTCCTAGAATAAAAACTATTTCTTCATCCCCATTATAGTTGGGTGTGCTCACATGACCAAATTCTACAAATGAAATTGGTGAAAGTGTTGGCAGGAACCTTGTGGGATGACTTCTGCTACCTGAAAGGCGGGCAAGATGGCTGGAGCTCTGACGGCCGCTTTCTATGAGGCATCAGGGCCATCCCCAGAGAAGACACTGGCAAAAGCAGAAAGAACTTCACTGAACGCAAATGAACATCAGTTCTCTCTGGCTACTTCTGCACCTGTTTAAATTGTGAAAATAAAACCTATGTGCGTAAGTTACTGTTAACTGGAAGGTTTTTTCATGCACAGCCAAATTTTAATTCCTGTTAGAAAAGTAGTCGGGTTGAAGCTGCCTATAATCTTACTGTGGCCTGGAAGAGATGTTATTTGCTTTTGCTTCGCTAGGACATTTTAGGACTCCTGCCAGGTGCAGGGCTGCGACGCCATGAGCGCGTGCTGATATCCACGACTACCTGCCTAGAGTCTTGGCTCTGCATTTTCGTTGTGTTATGTTGAAGGATCTTGGCAGTGAGGGAGAATTTCTGTGACAACTTTGGGCTTACACGTGTGGGAAATGAGTGTGGGTTACCACATGCAAGAGGCCACCAGGGGACAGGGCTGAGAGGCATCTGGCAGGGCAAAGGGGCAGGACGTGAGACTGGCACCCTGCCTGTTGTGAGGTGGCTGGGGAGCCCCACACCCCGGTGGGTGGGGCCTGAGAAGAAATCAACATTCGCATTCCTTGAATTCCTCTAGTCTGAAGGAGGTTGCTGAGTGTGGAAAAGGCCCTTTGGAGAGTGTCCCACAGGAGCAGGCTGAGTTCCAGGGTGTGAAGGGAAGCAGGCGGACCAGCTGCTGCCCGTCAATCACGTGGCTCGCTGGAGCCGGGAACAAAGCTGTGCCCAGAGGGTGAGAACGAAACTTCCTGCGCTAGGTACACAGAATACATTCCCCTGGGTACTGACCAGGCTGCTGCACTCCTTCCTTATTAGAGGCATCCTCTATTTTTT